ACTGTTTCATTCCAAACCTCTCTGCTTCAGAGAGAGAGGATTCAAAGATGATGTGATCAGATCTGGCCAAAGTCTTGGTCAACACGCTCTTAACCCTGCTTCTGGAACCTCAATTCCTCTGCTGCTGCTTTTTTCTGGTGTCTTCGACCACCACCCAACAGACTCCGTGGGATCCCTGTTTCAGAAAGATTTGCTTCATCAAACCACGTGCAAGCAATAACTCATGTGTCAGTCAGAGTCTGGTCTGTGTGAAGAGCCTGCTGGGCCAGTGAGTGGGGACAGTCCTAGACTGGGGGGGGGGGAAGACAAGGACTATTGTAGAATCAGGAGACGGGAAAGGAGTCAGTCACCACAGAGAAGTACAATTAACAACTGTTTCAGGCCCCTTCTCCTTCCCAGCCGTCAACCTATTTCTCTAGGAACCTTACCAGAAATCCCACTTGCCAGGAAGACATGCCCTCATCCTCCTGAGCAACTCAGCTATCCCTGCATTCACATTATCTTTCGTTTTCACCCATGGCTTCACTGAAGCCACCTTGTAATCTCATTTATCAGAGGACACAAAAGGAGAGAGACGTCCTTAGCAATCTTTTAAATTGCAATTTGAGAGCCCACAAAATGGCACATATGACTAGAGCCAGGACAAGCTCAGCTCTCCACGGAGAAGCAGGTACTCACACACCTTGGTATGTCTTCCTCCCGAGCGCTCTCTTTCTCTTAGCCCTCGAGCTTAAAGTCTAGATTAAAATGCCTTTAACTAGTTCCCAACTCTGCTTCAGACCGCTCCTGAAATCCGAGTCTGCATCCAAGCCATGAATCCCAGTTTGGCTTGAGTGAAGGACCTTAAAATGTTAAGAGAACTCCTCAGGCTACTGAGGGTGACAGGGTGGGGCCGTGGCTCTACCCCACAGGGCTGGCAAGCTCACAGCACAGAAGGGCACACCCCTTCTTGTAATAGTTATTCTCATTGGTGTGTGTGATGTGTGCACGGATGCCACGGCAGGTACGTGAAGGTCAGAGCCGAGTCTCCACCACCGTTCCGTACGTTCTGAGGGTTGGACTCGGGTCATGGGGCTTTCTCATCACCATTGCTGGTGGAGCCATCTCTCCAGCCCTCACTTCTGACAGTCTGGGAACACAGCTGACATCATCACTTCCTGCTATTATTGGGAGGTCCAAGAAGGCCCTGTTTGCAGCCTGAGTCCTGCCACAGCAACTGGAACCCTGTGGCTTGGTCTTCTTGACAAACACTGCAAGTCCTCACAAAACCAGTTGGTCTTGGAGCTCACACTTCCCCCAAATAGTGTATTTCTCCTTGTTGTCTTAAAAGTGGCTGAAGTCTATCCTGTCTTTGTGTGGATTCTTTGCTTTCTAAATTCACTTTTGTGATATAAGTGTCTTTCCATTGGGTACCACGGCACTTTAAATCATTCCATGGATCTCTTAAATTTAAATGTAGTGTCTTCATAAATTCTTTCAATCTTGGAATTCTACTTTTTTTTTTGTACTGTATCAGGAGGACAGAAAAACTTCGGGTATTTTTAAAAGACATCCAAAAAATGTGTCTTTTATGCATATAGTCTCCTTTTATTGTGTGTGTGATCACATGCAGGTGGGTGCACATGTGTGCAGGTGTGTGTAAACATATGCATATGGAGGTCAGAGGTCAACCGTGAGTGTCATTCCTCCACAATCTTCTATATTATTCTTTTGTCTTCTGGCCTCCAAACATATACTGTGGCATGCATCAAACATATGCCTATTTATTATTATTATCAGATTAAAAAGTAAGGAAGTTATTTTTTATTTACCTAAGAGACAAGCCTCAGGGAACATCTTGGAGGGAGTTTCTAGATTTGGTTAGTTAAGACAGGAAGACCCACCCACCAAAAACATGGGCAGCATCATTCCATGGTCTGGGAGCCGGACTGAACCAGAAGGAGAAAGTGAGCTGCCACCAGCATTCATCTCTCCCTGTTTCCTGACAGCAGATGCAAGGTGACCAGCTGCCTCACACACCTGCCTCCTTGCCTTGCTTGCCATGATGTGTGTCTGTCTGCCTATGGACTGCCAAAGTAAAACCTATCTCCTTTGCTTCTATGTGTATGAGTGTTTGGCCTGCGTATGTATGCACACTGCATTCATATCTGGTCCCTCAGAAGCCAGAAGAGGGAGCTGGATCCCCTGGAAGTGGAGTTGCAGACAGATGGAAGCTGCCATATGAGTCTTAACATAGAAAGCAATCAGGCATCTACAAGTCAAGGGCAACAGGCTTGAGGAGAGCCCGAATCTGCTGACTCTGATAGAGACTGTTGAGAACTCTGAATGCAGCGGTTCCAGGAATGTCTGTGGTTTTCTGGCCAGGAAAGGCAGAAGGGAGCTCTGGCTTTTCATCTCCTAAACATAAGCCCTGCCTGAAAGCTGGAGGGAGGGCAGGATGGAGCTCCAGTCCTTCTGGTAAATAGCTTTGGAAATGGGTTTTCTTTTTCTTTCTTTCTTTTTTTAGATTTATTTATTTATTATGTATACAGTGTCCTGTCTGTCTGTGTGCTTGCTGGCCAGAAGAGGGCACCAGATCTCATTACAGATGGCTGTGAGCCACCATGTGGTTGCTGGGAATTGAACTCAGGACCTCTGGAAGAGCAGTCAGTGCTCTTAACCTCTGAGCCATCTCTCTAGCCCAGAAATGGGTTTTCGTGGTGAGCATGAGTTGAGACCTGTCTCTCAATTTCAGCCCATCTCCTACATGATGCTAGTGCCAACTCTTGAGTGGGGAATGCTGCGGTATCCTTGACTGAGGCTCTCTGAGCCACGTGAAGAGAAAGCTGTTTCCTCCTGATCAGAAGAATGGAACTTAACTCTGGCCTTAGGAGGAGATCTCACATTCCAAGCTACCTAAAGCATAGGAGCTAATCCTGCACTTGTCCATCATTTGGCCAGGGATAAACCCTCCTGATGACCACCTTACTAAAGAACTGGGTGGAATAATTATCCCTTAATCAGATAATGGATTCTCTTCCCCAGAAGCCTCCACTGTAAAGCCTCTGTGACCGCCACAGAGCCAGTATCTGATGCAAAACACACTGGGGTTTATTGATTACAATTTAGCTAACTTGCATTGCACAATCCAACACTCCAACACAGCAGATGGGGGGGGGACACGGCCCAGAGCTCTCGGGGTAATGGGTTTTTAAAGGGGAAAACTGCAAGCAGGGTGGCACATGACTTGGTGTTTCGGGATTGGGTAGAAGTATACAACTTTTGAATTTGTTGTTGGGGTACTGGGAATTTCAAAACAGCATTAATCAGGTACCTACAAAGACAACTGAAGCAAGCAGATGTAAACAGATGTTTGGACACCCTGGTGGGGTCACTTTGACCAGGACTGGCACAGTGTCTTGGGAATGAATGTTTATGACTGTTGGGCTGCATGGACCTCCTTAGTTAGGTCCTGTCTGAAATGGAGTTCTAACTCAAAAATGGAGTTTGTTTTGCTACTTCAGTCACCTTTCTGGTTGTTGAGATGAATCATCTGATGGAGACAACTTAGAGGAGGAATCGGTTTTGTTTATGGTGTCCGAGGATCTGGCCTGTGTACACGTGAGCAGAACACTGTGACTGTGGGAGGCAGAGGCTGGTCTTCAAGTCAGAGAAAAGAATACAGACCATGGGGCTATACAGCTGTGAGCAAGGTGAGTGCTGGTTACACAGCCTGAGTCCTCTGCGAGAACCCCAAGTGTTCTTAAGCACTGAGCCACATCTCCAGCCAGCTTGATCTACAAGCAAGTTCCAGGGCAGCCAGGGCTCTACTACACAGAGAAAACGGTCTCAAAAACAAAACAAAACATTATCACATCCCTAAAATGTTAAGGAGGCAATTTAATGTGAGAAGGTTTGAGTTGAAAACAACAAGAGTCTTACTTGATTCCTGTAACCATTTATAGCTAGCTCTCCTTCCTATAGTGCGAAATGGGAGCTCACTTGCTATGTTTGTTAGATGTTGTCCACATTCCATCGTCAAGAATGTGGTGTCTAAACACCTGTTCAGTTTTCAGCGGTGGAACTCCACCCTTTATTTCGCCATAAGTATGTGTGGAATGCTTCAATAGGACCTAGTAATACTGGTGGTCAGACGTGAAAACGGTGGGGAGACAAAAATACACGTGTGAAATGAACTCAGGATTTAAAAAAAAAAAACACTGCATTTCTTATATGTGTTCAAAACACGGCATCATGAAGCCCTCGCTGACCCTAAACTTACCATGTAGCCAAGGATAAATTTGAATCCCTGATCCTCCTGCCTCACTTCGGAATTCTGTGATTACAGCGTGTGCTACCGTGCTGGGGTTCATGAGGCGCTGGGGATGGGACCCAGGACTTCGTGCCTGCTAAGCAAGCATTATCCCAACTGAACTACACCCCCAGCTTTAAATATCATATTTTCATGACCATTTCAGCACATTCTCAACAGTACTCAATAATTTTCTTTTTTTCTTTTTTTTTTTTTTTTGATTTTCGAGACAGGGTTTCTCTGTAGCTTTTGGTTCCTGTCCTGGAACTAGCTCTTGTAGACCAGGCTGGCCTCGAACTCACAGAGATCCACCTGCCTCTGCCTCCCGAGTGCTGGGATTAAAGGCGTGCGCCACCACCGCCCAGCAGTACTCAATAATTTTCATGATCAATACCATCTCTGCCAATATTTTGTTTGTTTTATATCCCTGGCTATCCTGGAACTCACTGTGTAGATCTGGAATTAAAGGCGTGCCCTACCACCCCGGCCAGTTTTAAATGCGGGAAACTGGAGGCCTGCAGTTTGGAGTCTGTTTCCCATACCGTCGAACTTGCCTGACCCTGAGCTCCGGTGTTTGCAACATGGTTTTCGGGCAAGCTCCAGACCCGGTCTGGCTAAGCATTCTCTGGTCTCAGCGGCCGCAATCCCCGGCCCCACCGCCAGGCTGCGCTACGACCTCGGGTCCCCTTCGCGCACCAAGCCGGGGCGGTCCGCGGGGGCAGGAGCGGGGCGGGGCACCGAGCAAAGGTTGTCCTCAAAGCCCAGGATCTTCTCGACAGCTCCGCGGCATCATGACGGTGGGCGCCCGGCTCCGGAGCAAGGCGGCAAGCAGCTTCGCGCGCCGGGGGCCCCTGGGGCGATCTCGAGGCGCCGGGGACGAGGAGACGGATGTCATCGTGGAGCACCTAGAGGGCGAAGACGATGACCCAGCAAGCCAGGACGATACACGCGAGGAGGGCGGGCGACGCGCGGGGACTCCAAGCGCGCGCAGAGTACACCTGGCTGCGCTGCCCGAGCGCTACGAGCCCCTCGAGGAGACCTCGCCAGACGACAAGCCCAAGAAGAGGTTTCGGCGAAAACTGAAGAAGTACGGCAAGGTAAGTCCCCAGCGTCCGGCCGCCCTGATCCAGACTGAACCGGGAGTTGCCCTGGGTGGAGTTGTGCCCATGTCGCTGCCAGGACAGTCACTTGGAGGGTGGCGCTGAGCGCGCAGGCTTAGGCGGGCAGGACCCTGCGCTCGGTTGTCGCTGGTGGAAACGGAATGTTGAAGCCGTTAAGTGACTTGGAAACCGTGTAGCTGGTGGGACGTTGCAACCCAGGTGCATGGATTTCCCATCATCTCCCCGAGGCCACCCGGCCACATGAGAATGTTAGGTGATTCTGTCGTAGACTCCCAGGTTGTCCGCGGGGCCTGCTAACTCAGCCAGTACACACCTAGTGCCTGTGGAATCTCCCTGCCTCTAAAGCTGACCTCTGCACTTTGAACTTCAGATGCTCTGCCTGCCTTTTGCTTTAGTGGTGGGAGGAGGTGGGTGAGCGAGAGGAAGAATGGGGATGGATAGGCAAAGGAATGAGTTTCATTTCCTGGGTAAATGGTTCTGGCTCCCAGTTGCCCCGGCTTTGAAGTAGAATTACTCTCCTGGCCTGGAGGAGGCTACGGGAGGGTGTTTGTTGGGGTGCGTACGTGGAGGAACCACAAAACTCATTGTGTTCCAGTCAAAGTCCTCTGACTGACCTTCTGATTTTATGGTCCAGTCATCAGTGGTCAGTGGGTGACCTTTACCATAGCTGAGGCATTCAGTTTCTTGCTGGGAATTTTAGTTTATCATTCTCCTGGATGATATGGCGTTGCCCCCTCACAAGCAGGCAATGATAAAATACTTGAAGTAAAGTGGGACTTTGAGGGTACAGAAACCATTTGAAAGTGAATTGATGACACGGGGTCCTCCTTGGAGGCTGGCATTTGGAGAGGTTTTGGGGTGACCATTCTGTGCCGGGCATTGTGCATACCCTAGAGGTGCAAAAATGAATCTTAACAGTGGCTGGAGAGAGTCCAAGGCTCACTAGGGAGATGTGGCAGAGGTCGGGCACCAGCCCCTTACTACATAGCAGAGAACTTAGTGATTACTCATCCTGGTGGGGCTAATAAAATCAGGGACGCAGCCAGGCAGTGGTGGCACACACCTTTAATCCCAGCACTGAATTTTGCTTCACAAACATTTATGACCTGACGATCTGAGTTCAATCCCCAGAACCTTGGAAAACTGACGCCCACAAGTTCTCATTGACCACGAACACACTGTAGCACACATGCACACGTGTGCATGCACACCAAACACACTAGATAAATGTAATTAATAATTTTTAGAAAATAATTCAAAGTAATATTTGGTTACCCTAGAGAGTTTCTGGGCTACATGACATTCTAGCTTTAAAAAAAATATAGGGTTAAACAGCACTCAAGCAAATATTTTTTACTTCAGTTTTTCTTGTGTATGGGTGTTTTGCCTTCATAAATGTTTGTGAAGCAAATAATTTTACAGACATGTTCACGGAAGTCTCATTTACCAATGGACAAAAAGTGAAAAAAAATCCAAATATATATGAGTAGATGAACAAAATGTGGGCTAGACGCATTATGTAGTATTATTATTAATAGCCATAAGGACTAATATTTGCCATCCTGTGGCTCACCAAGATGGTAAGTGGGGAAAGCCATGGCTCCCTTTCTATGAAATGTCCAGAGAGATGAGTCCAGACAGTATGATGGTGGCTTCAGGGGCCGACAGGCAGAAGGTTGCCGACTGCGTGTATAGTTTCCTTCTAGGAAGAGAATGTTTTGGAAGCAGACAGGACTGGTGGTTACACATCATAAAGGCATTTGATGCCTCTCACTTTTTTATTTTACAAAATAACAGATGTAGAAAATAACAAAAACATGTATGTGTTTGGGGTTTTTTGTTTGTTATTTTTTGCCTTCATGCATGTTTGTACCACTTGCCTCGTGCCCACGGAGGCCAGAAGAGGGCATTGATTCCCCTGGAGCTGGAGTTACAGATGGTTGTTGGCCACCATGTGGGTGCTGGGAACTGAACCCAGGTCCTCTGGAAGAGCAGTTGGTGCTCTTAACTGTTGAGCCAACCCTCTCACTTTAGACTGGTTGGTTTCATGTTACACGAAATGGGGGGTGGGGGTGTAAGAGAGATTTTGACATGAAAAGGGTTTTGTGTTGGTGTTGTTGTTTGTTAGATTTTTTTCTTGACCAAAACAGAGAGCGAGAGATGTGGGGAAAGCTCTGGAATGTCACCCACTAACTCAGTAGTCCCAAGAAGTCCAGATGAGATCACAGCCCAAGTGAGGGGTCACAAGAGCCATCCTGGCTCTGTCTTCTCAGGCCAGCTGAGAAGGTACCAGGCTCCAACAAGAAGGAAGAGGACCAAGGAGGCCCCTTTTCTGCAAAGCCATAGAACAGTCCAGGCTCCTGCAGAAGATGGGGGTGGGATCCGTGCTCACCTCGGTTGCCAGGCGAGGCTTTCTTTTAGAAACGAATAGCTCTGATTATTGGTTATTACGGAATGTGTTTTCTTTTTGTCCCCATCGCTGTTAACTTCACCCAAGCCCCTTCCTGCTTCTATTTAAGGAAAGTTGTTGGCCTTTGTGCAACATAAAAGAGCAGGCTCACTCCCCCTGCTGCTCCACCCACCCCCACCAGCGTGGTCCTGCCCAGGAGCCAACCCGAACACTGTGCTGGCCCAGCCTTCTGGAAGCCTTTGTGCCTGGGACTCTTATATAGATCAGTGTTCCTAGCTGATTTGAAAGAAATAATTGCATTCCTGTGGTGGACGTATTACTGTTAAAATGCTATCCGCTGGGCACTGGGGAAGGAACCTGAGGCGGCGGTGTTCCGGTGTTCCGTCAGAAGGCTGGCTGGCTGCTACCTTCTTTATGTTCCATGCCTGAGGCCCCTCAGCAACCCTGGGAAGCTGGGGTTGGAGAGCCCTAAGAGCTGGGAGGGAGCCTTGCCCCTTCCTCTGCAGATCTGTGGGCGAGATGGATGGAACGTGCCTCTCACTTAGCTGAAAATAATAGGCCGCCCTTGCAGGCACCCCTGAGAGGCACGGAGAGAAGTGTGGTAAGGAAAAAGAATGAAGCTAGGAGAGGGTTGGAGGGTAAAACAGAAAGTATGGGGTAAGGCAGGTGTGGTGTTGCAGGCCTGTAATCCCAGCACTCTGGAAACTTAGTTGGAGGATCACAGATCAGGGCCAACCTGGTCTACATAGAGAGTGGAACCCTGCCTCACATGTCAAGACCTAGGGTTGACTATACCACAAAAAGAAGGGAAAAGTAGAAGAAATGTTCTCATGTTTAAACTAGGGGTCAAGAGCCAGTCTGCCAGATGTGAGAACCGCACGGCCATCCAGTGGCCGTCTGGCTTTCTCTCACTGCCTTGTCTCTTCCTCTATACCATCTGATAACAATGAGGGCTGGGCTGGGGGGAACGTGCACACCAGGTAAGCATGAGAGCTCAGTAAAAAGGTTGGCCCATACTTAAAAACCTAGTTCTGGGGAGGTGAAGACCAGTACAGACGAATCTGTGAACTCGGGTTGGGTGGAAGAGTTTGTCTCTACACAAATAACTAAGGTGGAGAGCAATTCAGGAAGACGCTGAGTATCGATCTCTCACACACACACCCCACCCGACCAACACACATACCTGGTCATATCGAAAGTCAATACATTAGTCCACGTGGAAGGTTCTAGATGCCAGGGCACCTGGATGAGGTTCTAGAGCTGTATGCCGCTACCCTTTGAGGGGTGGGTTCTCTTTGTTCAGACTCTGGAGCCGATCACCCACTTCAGGTTGGCGTCAGGCCTGAGGGCAGCTCAACAGAGGTCTTGACCTTTGAGATCAGACAGTGACGTCTGTGGAGAGGTGATTTCCTCTTCTAAATCACAGGGTCATGAAGCCCCAGCCCCACTGGGGGGTTGACTGCCATCTTCTCTGCTGCTCTGGAACTCAGAAGTCCCAGGCAATCAAGCCTCCTGATCTAAAACTCACCAGGGCTGCTCCTGCCTGACTCTTTGCTGCTTCCAGGGCCATCTTCCTCCCTTCCAAACCCAGTAGTGTACCCCACCCCCTGTCACTCCCTTCCCCCTCTGCCCTCCATCTTCTGCCTGACTCCCCCTGCATCCCTCTGCATTAGGATATTCACATGGGGTAAAGCCAGTCTTGACCTGGTATGCAGGAGACCCCAGGGAACCGCCGCCCATCTGGAGAAGTCTTAGCTGACTCATACTGGCAAAGTCCCTCTTGCCATTCCAGGGAACGCAGTCACAAGTTCTGAGAAGTGCAATGTGAATCTGGGGGCTAGCCTGGCCCCCTCTCCCACGCTTTCCCATCTTCAGCATCCCTAGGAGAGATTCTTTCTATCCCAAGTCCTTTCCCTTGAATAGCACTGTGTGCTTGTCAGCTTCTTCGGCCTTTGCTTTGTGCTACCCAAAGCTGTGCTTTGACCGCGTTCCCGTTGATGCACTCTCTCAGCAGACTCTCCCCAATTGGTAAAGACAGAGTGATAAGTGGCTGTTTAAAAGGTGACCAGCTATGGGAAAGAGAGTGTTCAACTATCATTAAGGTCAGGTTTCGGATAAGCGGTTTGATTCTGGTGCCATTGGCAGGATACATGGTATTTGTTTCAAACATGAAAAATTCTCCCAATGACTTTTTTCAACACGTTTATAGAATCCTTTCCTCTCTCTTTCTCTCACACATGGACACACATACACACACACATACACACACACACATGAACATGTCTCCTTGAGAAATGGATGAGATGGTATCTTGAGGAGACATAGATGTACCAGTTTCTCCCACAGCTTGCCATGACCTAGTAAGGGATTGAGGGAAAGACCTTGGCTTTCCCTACAGGCTGGAGGTACCTGAATGGGTACACGCTATAGTGTGGGGACTCTGGCATTTACACCACGGACAACTCAAGGCAGAACTCAAGGCAATTCCATTTGCTCTCCAGACGTGTTTCTAGCAAGGCATTGTGGGTCACAACAACCCAGCACTGAGAGAGCTGGGACAGAGGATCAGTGTGAGCAGAAGGCCAGTCTGGCTTACATGTCAGCTCAGCTCCTGAGTGAGAGCCTGTCTCTAAAAACGAAACCTTGCTGAGAAATAAGCAATATCTCCATCTGATAAATTGCTACCACAACCCTAAGCTACTCTGTAACAGAAAGAAGTCACTGTTTCTTCTGAAAGTTGACACTGTGGTCACCAGCCCTGATGCATGTGCTGGGCACTGTTGCCAGCGCTTCCCTTGAATAAACTCCTCCATCCTCTTTGCCACACAAAAAGGCCACTACATATTCCCATTATACAGACAAGGAAACTGAGGCCAAGGAATGTTGAGGAAAGGATGGGATTGGAACCTACTCCAGGCTGTGAGCACTTACAGACTGCCTTCATTAGAGAGAGGTATAACATGGCATGAAGGCTTCTGGTTCTGCAGTGAGATTTCATCGGGGGAGATTCAGCTCTGCCCATTACTAGCTGGACAGTCTCAAAGGCGTGTTAACTTTCTGTGATTTCTTCTTTTTTTTAAATTTATTTTTATCTTATATGCATTAGTGTTTTGTCTGCATGTATGTATGTGTGAGGATGCCAGATTCCCTGAAACTGGAGTTACAGACAGTTGTGAGCTGCCACATGGGTGCTGGGAATTGAACCTGGGTCCTCTGCAAGAGTAGCCAATGCTCTTAACCACTGAGCCATCTCTCCAGCCTCTGTGATTTCTTCTTGCTGATCCCTTAAGCGAAGGCTATCAAGGACATATCAGTCACCCAAGTTAGGCCAACTTGCTTCGTGCAATGAGAGACAATGCCATAGAGGAATTGTGGGGCACCAGGAGGTGGGCACCCCAAGCAGAGAGTTGAATGAATGAATCTGAACTGGAGTTGCCAGCATTTAAGAAACATCCAAAGTCCAAGGGGTTCTAGGAAGAGCGGAGGGGGACCTAGCAATGAGAAATGAAGACCTCAATGGTTCCAACTCTACAAGAAGACAGAACCAATGGAGAGCGTTTAGGAGGCGTGCCCTGTGAAGAAGGGAGAACCAGGAGAAGATGGGTCCAAGTGATCACAGAGCTCGGGGAGGGAAAAGACAGAAGCCTCCATGGACCACACAGCATGGAGGTTGTAGGTAACCTTGACCAGGAAGTCCCTGAATGGTTGTGGGCAGCAACCAGTATGAGAGGGAAGAAGTGTGGCGTGGAGTCACTGTCTGGAGGCTTTTTCACTTGGAGAGCACAGAGACTGGGCAGGAGATGGCATAGTCTGAGCTGGGGAATGGGCTGACAGGAAGATGAGGATACTGCTGGAGAAGAACAGTGTGGGGAAGACATGGGAAAAAGAGCCGGTTCGCCATGGTTACACTGGCAGGGTGGGAGAAGCCAGGAGCCAGAGCACTGGGCTTGGGGACAATAACAGAAGATGAACAGGTCCCCAGGGATGTATGATTCAAGCAATGAGGACATGGACTCTACCAGTGCATAGAGATGGTTGGGGTCGGGAGAGGGAAAGGTTGGGCTGCATCTTAGAGAGGTCAACCCACTTGGGCAACTGGGGTAGCTTCTCCAGGCAACACTGGGTATCGCAGTGAGTCTCCTGATTGGAATCAAGGATCTTCAGTGGAACCAGGCTGTGTATTCTGTAGCCAGAAAAAAAATCACAGGGCTGAAAGCCACAGGGTGGGAGAGAAGGTTCTGGTCAGTTACTGGATGTCAAAGTCACCAAGAACAACAAAAGAAGTTGGAGGTGGGAAGGGGGATACTGGGGACACAATGCAGTAGATGTTAGCCATTAGTGGTCTCAAAGTTCTGATGTAATTCCACTTGAGTTCCTGGCATTTGATGTCCCCTGTCCTAGCATCCACCAAAGAGGAGAAGGAGGAGAAAGGCAGCATTCAAAAAGCATTGCCTCGTCCTTACCCTCAACAAATGTAAGACAGTTCTGGAAACACAAAAGGCTTGTGCACTTGCAGAACTCAGAGATGGTGAAAACTTCCGGGTTACAAACACGTGGGTCGGACCAGAGTAGGCGCTAGGCGCATAGGAAGGACCAGGTGGGCTGTCTAACAAGATGCCTGAAGGAAAATTTGACCCCGCCTATGATGGCGCTCACATTTGCAGCTGGGGAAGTGGGGTGAGTCTCAGTTTAAAACAACAAAGGCGTTTTAGTTCTAGAGCTGGCCGTCTCCATGCTGTTTCTCAGAAGGCTTGAGAGTTATCTGGAAATATGCTGTACTTGCACACACTTGGCAAGGAGAATGCCCGTCGTGAAGCAGGTGGGGACGCAGGGCACTACGCATGTGAAGACACGGGGCCTCCATAGTTTGCCCTGGGTCCATGAGGGAGAACGATTCTCAGTGTGTCACAGTGACTTGTGAAAGAGTCAACAGGTTGCCTCACCTAACTTTTGCTTTTCTCTTTCTAAAAATAGAATTTCGGGAAGGCCATAAGCAAAGGATGCCGGTACATTGTCATTGGTCTGCATGGATTTGCTGCAGCCTACTCCTCCCCGTTTGGAGTGGCCACCAGCGTGGTGTCCTTTGTGCGCTAACCGGAGCTGCAGGGGCAGGCATCAGCAGAATGCTTCCGCCCCAGGGGACAGTGTGAACCCACCAGCACTTCCGACTCGAACTCACAGGAACTCTGAAGATGAACTCTACTTTATGCTCCATTGTCGAACTGGTTGAGTGTCAGGCAGAAGCCATCCCCGCACATCCACTGAGCCACTCGGTTCTCTTGGACATGGATGGATCCGGGGATCAGATCTGCGGAGAGTTAGGCCAAGATCAAATTGGGGATAGGGTTAGTTTGCTTCCTGTACCGGCTAGAGCCTTTCTGGGGTACAGGCAAGCAGACTCATGGCAGGTCTGGGGTCTGAGCCGTGCGAGTCGTGGGCGGGTTGTGAGGGAAGAGGATGCAGACCTCTAATGGGATAGTTGCTAGGTTCTGGAAAGGTCGAGATGGGCATGCCTTCCTTGATCCCCTCACTGAGGGCAGTGAGGAAGCTGTTTCTGAGGCTCTCTCTCCCCCATCACTGTCATCGCGAGTTTAATTACAGGTTTGGGAAGACGGAAAGACGGAAACTGTCTTTGAAGACCACGATGCTTTGAAACCCGAGTTCCCAGCTGTGTGGGACTGTTGAAAGTAGATCAGAGAGTGTCATCTTCATAAGTGTTTCATAACTGCACGCCTGGCAATGAGGAAGGGAGGGCAAGTTCAGAAGCTGGGAGGCTGCAACAGGTGCCTTCCGAGTCTGAACCTGGTCCAGCTATTGTGTTTGGAGCAGGCAGGGCTCCTGCAGGTGTGACTGTCCATGCCAGTTCACTGCTGCCGGGTGCCTAAATCCACCATTTGATTGAGAAGAGAGAGGAGAGAGAGAGAGAGAGAGAGAGAGAGAGAGAGAGAGAGAGAGAGAGGAGGTAAAGGGGAAAGCGAGAAGGATAGGAGAGAGAATTTACAAGTATATTTAGAGGAGCAACCAGTAAGTGAGAGATGGGCATGAAGAAAGAAGAAGAAAAGCCAAGGACGACACTGGAGAGACAGTGGAAGTTGTGAAGTTAAGGACGCATGCTTGTGGTGGAGATTCCTTGGGAGGGCTGGGCTGCTTGTATGTAGGACTAGGGGAAGCTAGGGGACCAGAGGCACCATGGTGGTTAACACTTCTTAGGCCAGCATCTTACTTGGATTCAAAAGTTAATGTAGGCATGAGTCCCAGGCTTGGCACCCGCCGAGGGAGGCTCCTAGACTAGCATTGGGTGCTGTGAGAACGAGAGACGACCCCCTCCAAAGGGTAGGATGTCTGAGACACTGCACTGCTGGGTCTCACAACTGTTTTTAAAGTTGTTCATAAAGGTCCCTTTCACCATGACCCTTGGGCAACCCCACAGCAGGACAGGATTTCAACTTTGCTTCTAGAGTATTCAAGATCCAGAGCAGATCTTGGGACCTCTCTGTGGGATCAGCTTGTTAGCCTAGGAGACACGAAGAAAGCCAAGATGCTCGTCCCTCATCCACTGGGCCCAACCATCAGACACTGGTGGATGGGGAAGGTAGAGGAGACAGTGGCAGTTGCCCACTTAGACTCAGCCTCCCCTCTGGAGGCTCCTGTTGAATTGCCCTGTCCCTGGAACCAGGACATAGATGGTCTTGCTTTATCCCTAGTAGTACAAGCAGGTTATGTGCAGGGTCATGTGACGGGATGATGCTTGCCTGGTAGTCCTAGGATGGAAAACGGAAAGGTGAATAGGAGAAAAAGCCACTTGCATCTGACTGGAAAGAATCAGGAATGGGAAGCTTGCAAGATGCCTCCCCTGCCACCTCCCAATAGTGGAGAGTCCCAGGGCGACTACGACATCCCGCTAGGTAGAGAGAAGTGTGATCCAGGGATGGGATGAACAATCAAAGGTGCTTCCCTCCCCTGGGAGTCTTCCTCCCCACCTCCCAAATTGGAAAATCAGCAGTCTGGCCCTGTGCCTCTCCAAGTCTGGCTAAGAATTAACTCAGAAACGGCCAAAGTCAAAAGTTAGTCCTGGGACTCGCCAGGCTCGACAGAAGGTGAACTTCAACTCCTGGAGCAGACTGTGTGATCTCATCCCGTGTGTGGGACTCGTGGTTTGTGTTGTAGGCCGCCCTTTGTTGCTTTCCTGTGTTTCCTTGTTTGGCAGCAGGGCCCACACCCTACTGCAACTGAATTTAAGAGCGTAGCTTTCCCATTACTGACGTCCAACATTTTTTTTCCTGTATCCCTATCTTGCCTTGTGGTGTAAATAAAAGCCCCAGATTGTCTGGTTTTCCTATGTGTCAAGGACTGTGCCTTTCCTTGCTCCCAGCAGGACCTGGGAATGTGGGACGGTGGGCGATCGACCCTGCACCCCCCCCCGCCCCACACACACCCACACCTGCAGTGTTAAAGGCTTCATTCTTTAGAATCCCTCAGGACAGACTCTAGGGTAGGAAAGCCACAGCCCTGTTTCAAATGAAAAGTTTCCAGAACCTTTGACTTCAGTGTGGAGCCAGAAGGCTGCATTCTCCACAAGCAAGATGCTTCTGATCTCTGTCTGGGTTGGGAAATGCCTCCGCTAATGGGGCTCCAGGGAGGGAGACTGTGCCAGCAGAGCGGGCCCTGAGTGACAGTCCATGCTGGCATGTTGGCACACATGGCGGCTCACTGAGTCCCCACAGAAGCAACGGTAGAGGTTAAGCAAACAGGCAAGTGGACTTGTGTGGCCATCGGCTTATCTGGTGAGGCAGGTTCAAGTCCCTACCTGTTGGGAATGACATAGACCTATATAGCAGAGTTCTTTCTTACCTGCAGTGACAGAGTGAGTCTTTTGCCACCTTGGAATGCCATCCCATCTCCCGCCCCAACATGTTTCTCTGCCCAGCACCTGTATCTGATCAGAGAAGTACCAAATGACATCTGTGACCAAGGAGCAGGACTTGAACTCAGACCTTGGTGGCTTTCAGGGATCGCTGTGGCCATGGAACCATGTTTCAATGTCCCAGTAGGCCAGTGGTTCTCAACCTTCCTAATGCTGTGATCCTTTAATACATACAGACCCTCATGTTATTGTGAACCCCAACCATAAAATGGTTTTTGTTGCTACTTCATAACTGTAGTTTTGCTACTGTTATGAATCATAATGTAACTGATTTTCTTATGGTCTTAGGCAACCCCTGTGAAAGGGTTATTTGGCTCCCCAGAGGGGTCGCGACCCATAGGTTGAGAACTGCATTAGGCAGTCCCTGTTCAGAGTCTGTATTCTGATTATTGTTCCTGGTTCCGCCTCTGCAGAAGAGCAGAGAAGTGAAGAGTACTCACAGTATCTAAGAGTTTCCTGGTAAACTTAATTTGGGATCAAATGCAGACATAGGTCAGATCCAAGAAGTGGGGGGCCCCCTTGATGTCACTGTGAAGGCTGTCTTTCAGGGACGCCATGCTTTTCCCAAAGGCAAATAAGAGGGAAAAAGTCTCTAGCTTCCTTAATCATTTGTAGAAAAATGTGGAGGAATAAATACTGGGTTTTGTTTTTAAATTTGGAGGCAAAGTTGTTTTTGAACCAAATCACTCCACTGCACATCACAGCCAAAGGGAAGGCAGATCTTAAGATCTCCCATGGGGCCTGGTGCCAAAACCTAGCAGGAACACCAGCCTGAACAGAACTCAGGGGGCGGGGGCGGGGCAGGAGAACAAAGGTCCTATTGGCAGGGCCGGGGCCAAACCTGCCCCCCTGGGGGACTCGGAGCTCCGACCTGCACCTCCAGCTCCTGAGGGAGCCTTGTCGGTACCTTGAGTACTGACTCGGCTTTTTAAAAAGGTTTCTCTCAGGTGATTTCCTCTTTGTCCCTGGTGAAAAGGCTTGAAATAGATGCATCTAGTTCAAAGCAGACCGAAGTCTAAGCCAGGACTGGGGTGTTGATCAGCTGTGGAGTGCTTGCCCGGAGTGTGCAAGGCCTCGGGTTCTGTCCCCAGTGCTGCAATAAATATATAAGTAAAGAAACAGATAACATCATGAGTAGATTATTAATTAAATAAACATCAGAGCCAAAGGACGGGTGGAAATCGATTTGAAGGCCACACTTCCTTCACTGGCTCTTCAAAGCCAGGGTAATTGGTTTCCACCCGGGACTCCCTTCTCTCCTGATTGAGAAAAACAACTTATTTTTGGTCTTGGCTTGCTCCAAGAGAAGTCCAGGGTTGTCTCAAAAAGAATATGGTGAGAAAATGTGGGGAGGTAATGGGTGGGAGGGAAATAAGAGAATTGCCTTGCCTGCTCAAGACCCTGGCTTCCATTCCTCACTACTGAAAACAACAACAGCTCTGGTGTGGAGGCTCAGTGGGTAGGAGTTTGCTGTGTAAGAACGAAGACCTGAGTCCAGATCCCACACCTATGTAAAAAACTAGGCATTGCTGCACAGGAGCACCGTGGAGGGCTGAGACAGGAGGATTGTTGCAGCTTGTTGTCTACCAGTCTATCTCCAGCCTCAGTGAAAGACCCTGTCTCAAATAAATGAGATGGAACATGATAGAACAAGAACATGGGATATCCTCCTCTAATGTCCACACCTGCATCACACTCACACACACACAGGCACACACACACGCACACACAGAGGCACAAACACAAACACAGGCACACACGTGTAGACTAAAACAACCCAGCATATAGGGTACAGCATATACTTATTGTACTGTGCTTTCCTTCAGCAGCCCCTCCAAGCCAAGAGTTCTTTCCTCTTGCCCCCTCCCGTGGGAGGGAAGGAATAGGGCTGCAAGCAGGTGAGGCAGAGCCAGGGGACAGAGGAGAAAGGAGGAGGGAGACAAACTGCCTGACTGGTGCAGGTTCATAATCTGGATGAGGGACCCAGATGACTCTTTGCTTGAGAACATGCAGGCTGGAACAGCAGTAGGTGGGCTGTGCATGCATTTGTGTGTGTGTGTGTGTGGTGTGTGTGTGTGTGTGTGTGTGTGTGTGAGAGAGAGAGAGAGAGAGAGAGAGAGAGAGAGAGAGAGAGAGAGAGAAGAGGTGTCAGAGCAGCAGGGATAGAGGTCAGAGAAGCAGGGTCAGGAGTCAGAGCACCAGGGGTAGAGGTCACAGCACTAGGGGTGGGGGTCAGAGCACCACGGGCAGGGGTCAGAACAGCAGGAGACAGGTTCAAATCCCCCAAGATAGTTTGTTCGAGGCTGTTGGTCTCAGGTAGGCACCCAGATGAGGAAGGACTTTGGCCTAAACCTATTCTCATTTGTCTCTAACCTTATTTCTGTACACCCACATCTGGCTTACCTATAACAAAAGAAGAGGAGGCTGTACCGAAGAGAGCCTGGGGATGATTTCTCAGCTCCTTGGGGCTCACGAGGGACCCAGGGCTCCTCTGCTAATGACAAGCAAGACCACAATCTCTAGACTCAGCAATAAAATAAAATAAAATAAAAATGCACTTTCTCTAACCACCTCGAGCCTCTTTGACTGTGCATTTATTTTGAAATTTTTATTTTCATATTTCTTTATGTGGTGTGTGTGTGTGTGTGTGTGTGTGTGTGTGCTCGTGCATGTGCACCATGTGGGTCCCAGAGACCAGCCTTAGGATGTCAACCTCGATGGCAAGCGCTTTTAGCGGCTAAGCCATCTCTCCCTCCATGTGTGCTTATGTGCGCAGCAAATCAGCACTGAATACCCGCTAATGCTCTGCTGGAGTCCAGCAGCTGCAGTGGAATGGACCAGGTATGACTCTGTGTCCTGGCATCACATGTGACCACAGTTGCCACCCTCAGGGGTTCTATGTACTAGGTGATGACTTGGGGAATGTCTTAGGGTTTCTATTGCTGCAATGAAACATCATGACCAAAAAGCAAGTCGGGGAGGAAAGGGTTTATTTGACTTACACTTCCACATCACAGTCCATCATCAAAGGAAGTCAGGGCAGGATCCTGGAGGCAGAAACTGATGCAGAGGTCATGGAGGCCTGCCGCTTACTGCCTTGCTCACCATGGCTTCCTCCGCCTGCTTTCTTATAGAACTCAGGACCACCAGCTCAGGGATGGCACCACCCACAAATGGGCTGAACCCTCCCCCATCAATCTCTAATTGAGAAAATGCCCCACAGGTTTGTCCAATCTTATGGAGGCAATCCCCCACCACCACCCTCAGATAAGGTTTCTCTATAGCCCTGGCTGTCCTGGAACTCACTCTGAAGACCAGGCTGGCCTCTGTCTGCCTCTTTCTCCCAAGTGCTGGGATTAAAGATGTGGACCATCACCACCTGGCAATGGAGGTATTCTCTTAACTGAGTTTCTCTCCTCTCAAATGACTAGTTTGTGTCAAGTCGACATAAAACCCTCCAGCTCGGGGGCCCATAGGAAACCATCTCCCAGAGGAAGCAAGCAGGACTTAATTGGGGAAGGAGATGGGCTGTTGTGCCCACCACATAAGGAACCCTGAAGTCAGTTGGCCATCAAGATGAGTTGGCCATGCCCCGTGCACCCTACCCTGGGCTGTCTATGCCTGAACTGCTCTGGCAAGAACCTGTAGGTTCTGTAGGGGAGGCCCTGGAGCAATGCTTAAAAGACCCTTCACACTGAACAGCGTCCCTTGCTTCTTCGTAAGGGCGTCTGGGTGGCCCTGTCCTGTACTTCATAGTGGCTCTGACATCTGACTCCTTCTCTCTGTGGGAGATTGGTCAAGAGATTCAGCTTCTTTGAATCAGTTTGCCTACCAGACAAATGGGGTTGTAACACGTGTTGGCATCATCAACGGGCCTCAGGGGCAGAGTCTTCTGTTTGGGGTAACAGTTACACAGTCAGTGTGGGGAGTGCGCACCTATGAGGTTCAGGGGTCTTCAGGAGAGCCCCCCCAATTTGGCAGAGGGGGGAGGGGCATTCCAGTCCATGGAAGTCACACATGCCGAAGTCCAAGGGTGTGGCTAGACTAGGTGTCCAGGGACTGGCAGGGAGTGGACAGGACCTTCCACGCTCCTGCACTGACCTTGGCAATGGGAGGTAATTCTGGCCAGTTCTGTGTGTTCTCCTAGCCACCCCCAGCCTTGAAGCCTTGGAATTGGATGACAGGAAAAGTTCATTCCAAAACTTTGGCCTTGGCAGCCAGGGAATGGTGGAACGATAGTCCTGACCTTGAGGCCCTGGGGGGGGGGCTGGGCCGAGGGGTCACCTGGGCCCATGTTGTTGTCCCATGTGAGTGGGAACCCTGAGCAAACTGTCCTCCAAAGAGAAACCCCATTCCCACCTGGTCTCAGCTTCAGCATGTGATCTGAGCATTGCAAGGCAGTTGTGTGACTCTGGCT